GCTAACATCTATTGCCAATCCTCCTCCTTTTTTTTTTCCCCCAAAGCCCCAGTAGATAGTTGCATGTCATAGTTGCACATTCTTCTAGTTGCTGTATGTGGGACGCGGCCTCAGCATGGCCGGAGAAGCGGTGTGTCAGTGCGTGCCCGGGATCCCGAACCCGGGCCCCCAGCAGCGGAGTGCGCGCACTTAACTGCTAAGCCACTGGGCCGGCCCAAAAAAAAAAAAGTTCTAAATTTTAAGAAAAGAGTATGACACAGGTTCACATGGACAAGCCATTCTCATAAAAATAGAAAATTGAATAGTAACATCAATGGCTGTTTATAACCTGAGTCACCTCCCATAGCCATACTCTCTCAGGTCAGAGTGAGGTTGAAGGCATTATTACAGAATGAGGGGGTAGGGAGGAAAGCCCAGGAGGGTCTGGGTTTGGATTGCCCTTCTGAGTATTATGGGGTTCCAGAAGTCATCGGGGGCTACAGAGTATTTTGAGATACCATACAGAGAAGAATTTTATAATGTGGGTGGGGAGCGCTCTAACCCTCTCTTGCCCTCCTGCGTTTTCCAGGCTGGATGCATGCAGGGTACCCCATCATGTGCCATCTGGAATCTGTGCAAGAGCTCATCAATGAGAAACTCATCAGAACCAAGGGGCTGTGGGGCCCTGTGCATGAGCTTGGCCGCAACCAGCAGCGGCAGGAATGGGAGTTCCCCCCGCACACCACCGAGGCCACCTGCAACCTGTGGTGTGTTTACGTGCATGAAACGGTCTTGGGCATTCCTCGAGGCCGTGCCAATATTGCTCTCTGGCCCCCAGTTCGGGAGAAGAGAGTCAGAATCTACCTGGGCAAGGGCCCCAATGTGAAAAACTGGAATGCGTGGACTGCCCTGGAAACTTATTTACAGGTACTGGGCAAGAATGGAGGGTGATGGGAACCCACTACTGTGGGGACTGCCAGAGCAGCATTGTTGGGTGATAGTCTAGTGACCCAGGAGGCCTCCTACTACATGTGTCTCCCTCACGAGGCCTTGGGAGACTCTGACAAAGCCCAGTGTGACAGTCCTCTGTGATGATGCCTCTCAGTGTGTCACTTTGCATGACCCTCAAGTGGCCTTAATTGCCTCAGCGCCACTCTTACCCCATGATTTTGAAGAGATTGATGAGAATAGATGTAAAGCACTAAGAAAGGTTAAAAAATGGTAGAGGCAAGTATAGTATAAATATAGTTACTATCACTGACTTTAAACCTAGACAGACCTGAAATTAAAGCCAAACTGTGCTATTTAATAGCTGTCTAAAACCAAACTCCCCCCCAACACACACACAATATATGGGATAGGACCTATTTTGTTTCCTTACATGAGTATACCGTCTTCTCATTATGACTTGGCAGTGCCTCAGTTTCCACCTTATAGGCAACCCCAGATTCCTCACTGGCCTGGATGTGGAGGTTGCCTTTGCTTTTGAATTATCGTTCGGCACCCCAGGTCCATCCCCCCAGCCCCTGGATCGGTTCCCAGCTCACTGTGGAGAGATTCATCACCTTGTATCCTGGAACTCACTCCCAGGCCAGGCACACTCAGTTCTGGTTCTTCTGCCTGCCTGAGTTCCTCTCTGCTCATTCCCACTGCCACGAATGACAGTGAAACCACCAAGGAGACTCTACTTTAATCTTGTCCCTGGGGCCACTTCACCCCAGGGACAGAAGTTCCTCATCTGTGAAATCAGGTTGAGGTTGGTCTCAGGAACTGCCAACGTCCCTCTCACTCGAAAGGTCCATAACCCGGCCTAACACAGGCTACTTCCAGTGGCCTCAGGACGGCGGGCTTTTTCTAAAATTATGCCTTACTCTTAATTCTAGCTGCCTAGACTATACTTAGTCTTCTGCTTCTACCGGATTCACCTTTTTTCCCAAAGGCCATTTTAGTAGCCTTGCAAATTGGCATAGACCTATGATTAATGAGGATTATGTCAGAATAAGGGTGAGAGTTTCCCAATTATTGGGGTTTAACTTTGCAACTATGAAAGATATAAGGATTTTTCACTTCAGCCCATTTTAAAGCCTTGAGTGTAATATCCTATCACCACTTTCACGATCTAGTGAGCTATACAAATAATAATATTGGTGGTAAATACTGATAATAATATGGCAGTTGTTACCATAGCATCATTTATGGAGTGTTTTTTGTGTCAAGCACTGTGCTGGCTCGGAGGCCCTTCTTAAGATTAGAATGTGAGAGAGCAGCATGTGAGGCCAGCAGGTAAACCAGGAGAGGGGCAGTGATAGATATGAAAGCAGGGTCCAAGAGGTTAAATACATTAAGTTCATCGACTAGAGTGTGTGCTGGGTCTTCTTGTTGTAGATTAGATGTCTCATGCTGCTTTCTCTTTCCAGCTCCAGGAGGCCTTTGGTTGGGAGCCATTCATCCGCCTCTTTACCGAGTATCGAAACCAGACCAACTTGCCCACAGACAATGTTGACAAAATGAATCTGTGGGTGAAGATGTTCTCCCACCAAGTGCAGAAGAATCTGGCTCCGTTCTTTGAGGCCTGGGCGTGGCCTATCCAGAAGGAAGTGGCTACCAGCCTGGCCTATCTGCCTGAATGGAAGGAAAATATTATGAAATTGTACCTCCTCACACAGATGTAAGGAGTGCCCAGCGAGGTGGCAGGTAGAGAGGTTTGGGGAGGTAGGCAGAGATGGGGATTCACTCCTCGACCTCTGTCTCTTAGGGTTCTAGCCTTGTCCCCTCAGCTCATTGCCCCTGGATCTTATTATGTAGTTCTGTGTCTAGGAAGTGGGTTAAGAACACAGCAGAAAGGGGAATCACAATTTCTCAGGAGCAAGGCCTTGTGTGTATCAGTCTTCTTCCTCTGCTCTCAGCTGTCAGATGCCCTCCTGACCCTATATTGGCTCAGTTCTGAGAGCTTTGGCACCTGCTTCTATGACAGCCCTTGGTTCACCATCATGGGCTATAGCCCATAGAGGGTGGTTCTCATCCTGGCATCCTGAGGACTCTCTAGGCTTTTATTTTTGATCACTTGTTCCAAAAGCCCTGACCATAGAACCCAGCTGAAACCATGATAACCAGGCAGCTCCCTGGTGACTCATAGACTTTGCGCCTTGTGTAGCCTTCAAAGAGCTTGAAAAGCAATCTGGCATGCTAGAAAGAGCCCATAGCTAGGGTTCACTCTTGGGAAAGTCACTTTATCTCTGTACTCCCATTTCTGTGTGTGAGATGAGGATAAAAATCCCTGCTTCACAGGGTTGTTGTGAAGACTCAAGATTGATAATTCTAAAGAGGTTTGTGAATACAGTGCACGCACTCTAAGGGATTGTCTTATTTTATGCTGGTGCACAGAGCTGGGAGCTTACTCCTTCCCATTCTCTTCCTACAGCCTAGAGGTTATGATAATCATTTCTCACAGTGACTCCCTGTGGCCAAATCCCGGTTCTTTCACCTATTAGTTGTATGACTCTGGGCGAGTTCCTTAACTTTTCAGTGACTCGATTTCCTCACCTGTAAAATGAGGTGTGTGTCATAGGATTACTGTGAGGATTAAATTTCAGTACAGCTAAAAGTGATTAGAACAGTACCTGCTAGTTAGTAGGTACTGAGAAAATGTCAGCTGTCATTATTATTATCTAATTAACTAAATGTCATTGTAAAGCTAGACTTCACTTTTAGATGGCATTTACAGAGGCAGTGTCATTAACCCTATCCCATCCTGCACTTTATACACCAACCTCTGAAAGGTTTCTGGTACATTGCTTTATGAATCTAAAGGAAAGGCTCTAAATTCACAGTGGGGTTTTCATAGCTACCTGGGGTTTGGTCTCTTTCTTTAATTCTTTCTTTCAGACACAGTTTCTTCTTTGATTAAATCAAGAGTAGAAGTCACTTGAGAAACCAGAACAATTCCATGAGGGTGTTTGTCTTTAGCAAACGATGGGCATTTGGCTTAGTGACGGTGTTTATATTTCTGTAGTGACACAGATTCCTGTCATTGTCAAGAGTTACTTACCATTTTGGCCGATAAAGTCCACACACATATAGAAATCTTTACTTTGGAACAAGCTAACTGGATACAGCTGACCCAAATTTCATTTAATTACAAGACATTCAAAGATTTTCTTGTTTTCTTATAATCTTATTCAGAACCTTCCATTTCTTTGTAGTTTTAACTAGAGTTGGGGCTCTAGGATTAAGTTTTCCTTTAGCTCACTTTTTTTTTATTTGGTTATATTAATGCACCATTTTATTTGCTTTATTGGGAATTGGGTGGATGCATAGACACTAAGATTTGACCTAGATAATGTTTTTCTTTGGATTCCTTTATCATGTCATTTCTCAACCTAGAATTATTTTCCCTTATTTCATGAATATCTATGATCTAGGTGTTTTAAACATAGATGTTGAATATTCATCCAACATTTAAAATAATTGCTATCAATTAGTAGGGTGTTATATGCCAAGCATTGTACTGGTTCCTTTATATAGATGGTTTCATTTAATCTTCACAATAATCTTATGAGATGGAAACTTATCACTCCCGTTTTAGGAATGAACAAACTGAATTTTATGGAGATCAAGTAAATTGCCTAAGGCTACATTGCTAATAAGTGGGAGATCTGGGTTTGAACGCAGGCATTCTGATTACAGAATGGGTGTTAGTAACTACAGTGCTTTGAATAACTAAATAAATGAGTAAATGAAGAAACCAGGCAGCAAACAGAAGGACCTTTATGTCCCTACCTGCCAGAGGTTTGGCTGCTTGTACTTAGCCCTCATCTAATTTTATCAGAACAAAAAGTCCCTTTGTTTATCCCAAATGCCAGTTCAGAGGAAGAATTTGAGGTAGGCGCCTGAAGTACTTCCCAATAGACAGTGCTGGGATGACCCCTTTAGCATCAACCAAGTCTTTTAGGCTCTGGGTTATTCAAGTTTCAGTCATTCTCTCTAGGGCACCATGAAAGCATTCTGCTAGCTATTGGATTTTGAATCGTGGGTTATTTTGGTCAAGTGCCTGACTCCCAAAAGCCCCAGACATTGCATGTTCTCAGAAGGGAAATTAGATCCTCAGTCATTTAGAATAATATTTGTATCCATTCTGGCCCTCTTTAGTCCATTTTCAGCAGTACAGCCCTGGGGATCTTTTAAAAATATAAAGCTATCCGTGTCACTCCCCTGTCTAAAAGCTTCCAGTGGGACTTTGAATTTAAGATGATGAACTGAACATGTAAGTTTACCTCCCCTCCCTCTCCAGGCCCCACTGAAACTGAAGTCAAGAAATACGAAAGAAAATTGACACATCTCAGCAAAGAAAAATGGATGGATGTGAATATATGTGAAGAAGATCTCAACACATTTCTGGAAGAGAGAAAGTAGATGAAGCGTGATAATGAATGAAAGAGTGAAGATACCCTTCAGACAGAACAACATAACCCCAGAGAGACTTGGGCATCTGAAAAGTCTATCTACTAAAGAATTATACCAGTTGTAAAATTGAACCCCATCCCATTCTACCCGAACCCTTGTGCGCAGAACACAGGCAGTCTGCAATTGTTGCCAGTTAAAAATCTGTTGTTGTTGTTGTTGTTGTTGTTGTTTGTGTAAAGGAACTGAATAAACTGCCTGAGGAGAGGTAGGAGTTGGTGCAGCAGAATAAAATTTCTCTGTTTGTGGAAATAAGTGAACCCTAGTCTATCAGCGAATTCTCTGACAGTTGAAACCCCTCCTTAAGTACTCAAGTGCTTCTAGTGAGAAAGAGGCTTAGTGGAGAAACAGACCCAACCATACAAGGGCAGAGGAAACTCTGCCCACCACCCACACCAACTCCTAAAAAAGTCAGCAGTTACATTGATTCTTAAATGCAAATGATCAGCTAGAAATTCCCAGATATTGTGCATTGGGAGAGCAGGGGGGGACCAAGGGAGAAGCATGTAAGAAGAATAACCAATTAGAATTAGGAAAATTGAAAATACAACAAACTCTGGAGGAAACAAAGTTATCATGGAAAAAATAACTTAAAAATCTAGGTATATCTTCAGAGAGATCTGAGGTGCATTTGTAAGACGAAAACAGGATGCTACAAAAAAAGGAAAAACTCTGAGAATAAGAATAGCCCTTGGAAAATGAAATAAAACTGCCAAAAATATCCAGTAGACAGGCTGGAAAATAAAGTTGAGGGAACCTCCTTAGATATAGAGCAAAAAGAAATAGCAGAAAATATGAAGAAAGGAAAGACATAGACAATCAATATCTAACCGTTAGGAGTTTCTGGAAGAGAGAAAATAGAAAATATAGGTGAAGAAGTAAAAAGGAAAAGGATTGAAGAACAGAAAGAACAAGGGGCCCCAGTACAACCTACATCTAAACACAGTTTTGTGAAATTTTGGAATATTAAGGATGGAGGGAAGACGTTAAAAGTGCCCAGAGAGAAAATAAAATTACATCATCATAATTAGCTCAGCTGAAAAGGGATGAGAAATAGACTGGCAACAAATTTTCAACAACAACGCTGAATGGAATGCCAATGGAGCAATATCCTCACAGATCTTACAGAAAATTTACTTACCCAGAATTCCATAGCAAGCCAAACTGTCAAGAGTCAAGTCAAAATAGACATTTTCTGACATGCAAGTTTTCAGAAAGTCTGCCTCCTTTGCACCTTTACTGAGGAAGTACCTTGAGGAAGTTCTCCAGCAAAATGAGGATGAAAACCAGGAAAGAGGAAGAAATGGAATCCAGAAAACAATGGATCTCACCCAGGATGTCTCATTCTAGAGTGGCAGATAGCCAACAGGGTATCTGTCACTCTAGAGTGACAGTGATCCAGCAGACCCATTTCAGATGAGAGTGCACAGTCTCAGGCTCTCTGGGAAGAATATGCGTTCTGTGTCACAGACGGTATCATTGAGAAGCTGGAATGTTTGAAAATACAGAAGACCTACATTCTTTAGTCAACAAAAAAGAAAGGCAAAACAAAAATATGTCAAGAAATTCAGGTCCAATTATAAAACAAACACAAAAAATACTCGTGAAATGTTGGAAGAGACTCGATTTGACATGGGCGGTAGGTATATTTCCTTTCAAGTGGCGCAGGCAGCATGGCATTGGATGTGTATGGAAGAACATATCTTAGTTTCTGCTTGGCTTTCAGTAAACAGTATTTACATAGCCAAAATAACGTAGATGCTATTTTTTGGTGTTCAGTGTTCTCTGATCAGCCTATAGACAAACATGAAAGGCTTAATTTTTTATTCGGAACTGAAATTGAAAATAATTGATCCTGACAAGTTAAGGAAAAAAGAGCAGAAAGAGGTTGAGAATTAGTTGAGGGAAGAGAGGTGGAAGGAAGAGTAGGGCTTCTTATATATTCAAAGTGGGGGTGGAAAAAGAAAGTCTCCAGTTGATGGAACAAGAACTAGAAGATTGGTATACTGTTCAAGGCTATAAATTAAACCAATAGAAGTATTAAAAATGACATATCTATTAACAATTTGGGAAAGGATGGACAAAGGAAAAGTGGGGCTAGTATAAGTTAGATCCTTATCTTTTGTAATGAGGAATTATTAAAGATTGTCTAAAGTTAATAAGTCAAGAAATTATTGTTCAAACATATTATTTAATGTTAGGAAATTAGTTATCAGAAGATCTAAAAATAGAAATTGTTAAATGCATTGCCTCTAGGGAATGGGACTAGGGTTAAAAAGGGTGGGGGTGGGGGGAACTGTGTTTTTCATTTTAAGTCCTGTATTATTTAATTTTTTACCTTGTGCATGTATTACTTTGAAAAATTTTTAATAAACTCAAATAAAAATCCTTCAGTGGCTTCATATTGACTTAGATACAGTCCAACCAAAACCCTTAAAATGGCTTATGAGGCCTTCAGGTATCTGGATCCACCTGATGTGTCCAGGCTCATCATATCTCCCCATTACTCTCTAGTTCTAGCAACACTAAATATCCTCCAGCTCTTCAAACACACTTCACCTTCTCCTGTTTCTACAGGTGTTCCACAAAGAGCAAAGCCTGCCCCGGATTTTACCGTGTGTGTGGTGATTAAGTTTACTGTCTAGAAGGTTTTTGATGTATGTGGAGTGAATGAATAGGGTGTTGCATGAAGATTTCCAACTAATGTTCTTTCCAAGAAGGCATACTATCTGTCTCTGTCCCGGGTAGCATTTCAAGACCATAATGGGGCTGTAAGCTTTCCTGTACTCCTATTCATTTGACAATTTTAATAAGTTTTAGTCGTATATGAAGCGAGGTGGTGTCAGAGAATTTTCCTCCATCTCAGTCTCCTTGGTAAGTTCTTTGCCACTTTATCTGAACATCATAATCTGTTTTCAGCTATTTTTCTGCTGTATTTGGGAGAAGCAGTCAACTATCTAGTGGAAATCTTCAGCTCCCAGGTTTCTTGTATCCTGCTACTCCTAGTCTCTCGCTGGCCTTTCCTTAACTCCATTACTTTACTTTCTATTGTTGTGTAACTCCCAAGGCCAACAAGCTCTCTGATGAGTACTGGCCTTACAGCTAATCTTCAACAGCTGCATTTATTGGAAATCCATCCTATCTCCTTTTCATAAGATCAATCTCTGATATACTTAGTTCCTAAACCAATGTCCCCACCTGATGTTACAACCTCACCTAATGTATGTGCCTAGCAGGCCAATAGGTAACCGGATATGGCCTTAGATGTTGACTATTTTTGCTGACAAAAGTAACACACCCTATCCCTTCTTTAAAGACTACTTCACTCCTGTGTTTTTTATTCCGTCAAAGCTTTTGGACCCCTGCTTGGCTTCCATTTTGAAAAGGATTTCTTTCTTTGACCCACGTCATTGGCATCAATCTTCCAAGTGTGGTAGAGGAGGGGTGGGGGGTGATCCTCAGCTTTCCAGAAATCTAACTACACACACAAAAACTCCACGTCTAGTTCAAGAGAGCTATAGAAATGCTACTTAAGCATTTGGATTCTTGTGAACTTGAATGCTGTAAAGAAGCATTTCTCTGAGAGGAAAGCTTGAGTGGTTTAAGTTATTGTCAATGTTCTATCCTCATATTGGGTGGTTGGTTTCATAGGTGTTCATTACATTAGAAATAAATAGAATAAATGAATGAGTAAATTAAAAAGCCATGCATTGACCAATGATGACAGTATTAGGAGCCGAGGATTAGGTTAATACATCCAGAGGGCCATTAAAATGTTACTCCCGTTCATCTGAACTATAAAGGAAGTCAAATGTATATAACTTTAAGAAATAGGTACATGTAGGTACTAAAAATTTCTTTCCATGGACTGCCTAAATTTTGACATGTAATTCACAGATTGCCAAAATTATTTAGTATAATTTGAGATCTGAGATAGTGCCAAAATGGTGGGGGCGGAGGGCAAAATGGTCAAACATACAATATAAAAACATGTAATTGAAGGGGTCTAGAAAAGGCCCCAGAGAGAGAAGATACCCACCCCCACCCTCACCCCCACCCTGCCTGTCCTCAACGCAACCTGTAGTCCAGGCCCCAAAGAGACACAGCAGGCTATACCTATGCCTGGTCCTGTTATCTGTGAACTGTTGTTGAAACGAGTCAGGAACCTGAAAAGAGGTCTTAAACTTCCCTCACCCTCCATCAAGGTAAATAGCTGTTTTTTTTAGAAGGAGAGGAAACGCCGACTTTTTATTTATTTTTTTACATAGAGTTTCTCCTTTTGTTCTTGCTGTCAGTGCAGCCTAGAGCCAAAATGTTACAAAGGAAACAATAATAAGCCTTAATTAAGGCTTTTGACATTTAATCACAAGACCACTGGCACTATGAGCTTGTTTATTGATAACAAAGCAAACTTAAATCTCAGGTCCTTATAAGAAATACTTTGAGATAAACTATGAAAGGGCAAACAGCTAACTCATGTCAGTAGTGTTGGAGTCACCTTAGGATCAAGTCTAGTGGATCTCTGGAACTGGATAAAGAAGGGCTTTTAATGGGATGGGGAGGAGAGCATATCCTCAGGGATAACATGATATTAATGCCCTCTAGCCAAAGACCACCAGGAACACACCTGTAGTGGAACAAGTTGGATTTATTACTCATTTCAGCTAGGGCCACAGGGAACTTTGGGCATCTCAGTGAAAGAGTGTTAGAAAGAACCCGTTATAGGATTTGGGCTTTGAGTGGATAATTTTGGGGAGGGTCCAAGACGGCAAGGCTTTGTTCTGGATTGGATGGTGTAAGAAGAAGAGGCAATTCTATAATTACCTCAGTAAATCTCATCTATCAGGAGGGCTGACTGAAGGTGTAATTGTTTTTCTAAAAAAGCAGCAGTCACTTTACTTTAGACAAAAGAGAGGGATGTTTGATATTTTGTAGTTGCCCAGAGATTTTGTTTTTGTCTTACTTTATCGTGGTCTCAGAGTGACGTTGTCTGAGGTTGATGTTCTGTGAAATTGTTTATGTACAAACAGGAGAACAACATGGCCCAGCTGAGTGTGTTAGACAAGTTCCTAGATATCAGGGCCTGCTTTTCTTTCTTTCTAAATGCAAAAGAGCCTTTGTTCCTCTTATAGAAGATTAAAATCTGCATTTCTCTTGATTGTGCATAATGGATAAACTGGAAAAAACATTAATATCACAAGGTACACAAGAGGTACCCTGGGAAAGGATGGCTCCCTAATGATCCCCTAATGAACAAAATGAAGTTGAGACAATGTGTCAATACTTATGGGTCACTTACTTATCATCTGAAACTCCCCACTCCTTCTGAAACACAGATTCCCTGAACCATTCCTGGAAGGAATAGGAAGTAGTCATTAGGGTAGCAGTTTGCTTTTACCTAGGAGGAATACAATATACCTCTACAATCCATGTAAATTCACTTACTAACTGCTATAATTGGGCCACACAGAAGGAATTAAAATTTAAAACAGAAGCTGAAAGATGCCTTTCCATTAGATATATAATGCTTTGATAAAAAGGGGAGCAGAAACCATTTTATCCAGTGCTCAAACTTCCCCCATTGAATTTAGGATCTCTGTGAGACAGCAGACAAAGGTAGTCAAGTTCTGTGGCCTCACCCAGATTTTAAATATTTTTTTAGCACAAAACTAGATCAAGCCACTAGAAAATACTTTCCTAAATTAAATTAAAATCCTTCCTGTTTTATCTGCCCTCTTTTAAGAAGCATTCATAACATGTTTCTTAAGCATTCATAAAATCATAAAATTTTGGCTTCCGTAAGATGCATATCCCACATTTGCGCATCCTCTTCCATTCTAGCCATCATGTCACTAAAAAATTTATTTAATAAGAATTTATTGAACACCTACTACAATGCTAGTTACTGTTACAGGGTCTGGAGATATAAACATAGTAAAGCTCCTGCCCTCATAGTGCTATGTTCCAGTTTGAATATAAATGAACAAATAAACATATGTCAGGTGTGATAAGTACTATGAAGGCATATAAAACTAAGTAGTGATGGGGAAGACAGTGTTCTGGGGTAGGGGACTGGACAATGGGTATGTTTGCTACTTTATGTAGTGAGGTCCAGGAAAGCCTCTCTGATAAGGTGACATTTGAGCAGGTTCTTGAAGGAAATAATGGAGCCAACCAGGCAGATAAT